AAATCCAAATAGCTTATGCATTTATTTTGAAACTGCATTTTAGGACCACCTAAACACCAAGCCCAAACAGCAATTCCTTGGACAGAGACCATGCTTTACTGAATTAGTGCCTCCTGATGGCCATTGGAATTCCAGCTTCTCATGCTAGCTCATCAATCCTCACCTAATATAATCCCCACCAACACTAGAAGAAAGAGGAGCAACAAAAATATTTTTACTGCCTCCAAACTGGGAATCCAAAATCAGTTTTAAAATGCCATTTCTGACCTAATCTTCATTACTTCCTTTTCCAAAAAAAAAAAAGGAAAGGAAAATATCTTGCCTCGCCTGTGCAATACAAAAAATCAGAACGTGAGAAAGAATGATATAATTCTGAATATATCAAATATCAATATTTATTTAAAAGACAACAGACCAAAACACAGAACACATTCAGTTTACAATTAGAGCCAAGTTTATTTCCCAGAAACTCAAAGCTACTTAATTCCATCCTCTTACGTACACACAAAGAGTCTCATTCAAAGTTCCTGAATAAGCAGCATTTTGTCAGGCTGTATGGTTGCAGGTTTCATAGTCCACATGTATGAAGTAATGCTGAAAACTTGCAGACACAAAAGGATTAGGGGAGCATCTCTTTAATGTGTCACATAAGACATGTGGCTATGTAAAGCCAAGCCCACTTGTTTAATGCCACCTAGATATTGTTGCATGAAGCTTGTCCATCAAGTTGTTGCAGCAAATGCAACACAACCTTTAATAGCCATCTTGCCAAAAATGAGCACAGAATTACTGAAACAGTTTATCATTATCCCTATGCAGTTTAAATTGAAGGGCATTGCAGCCAGCTGCCAAGGGTGTGTGCATACACAGCAGGCATTTATGAAGAGTGAAAGCCTTTTGGTGCATACAGCTGTAAAAAGCTCCTACAAGCTGAATCCATAATACTGCCAAACCACAAAGCTTCTTAAGCTATTATAGACATTTCTCAGAGGACAAGTACCATTTATTATCAAAATAAAATTCGATGCCACATTTATTTAAAAAAATGTTTTGTCATGCATTGGTGTGCTTTTGTATTGCACATGGGAAGACAGAATAAAGGCTTCATCAAATAAAAGATATTTGAAAATATAGTAGTCACTAAGAACCCAGCCCACAAGCAGCAATCACTGTTAGCCTTTCTAACATATACTACTGAGAAACCTCTGCAAATTCCTGATGATCTGCAAATGCTTTGCCTTTCCACACCCAAACATGTAGCATGAATGCATGCACTAGCAAATTAAGGCTGAAACACATATACACACAGATGTACATCAGATCCATTTCTTAATTCTTACCTTTGACTTGAGTGTCATATTCAGCTATGATCTCCTTATCCTTTTTTAATTTAGCTGGCGACGTCATGTTTCCTCCCCCCAAAAAGGTTATCCACCGAACAGATCCTCCAGAATATCACAAATAAATATAATTTGTGTTCCTCCCAAAAGGGGGGGAGCAAAATAATCAGTTGGACAGGCTTGTCTTTCCTCCACAGCAATCAGTCCATGGAGAGAGGGCGTGAGATGGTGCGTTCGCGAGCAGCAGAGACATGCAGATGTGAAGAGCTCAGCGGACAGAGAAGGCAGCAGTTTGGATTTCCTGCACCAAAATCCTGAGCAGCAGTGGTGGTGGTGGCAGCATCAGACTAGAGAGAATCTGCAGCCCCCAAAGGCTTTTCTTGATTGCTAACATTAATAGCACAGCCAGGGAGTGGAAGTCCTTCTGCGCAACAACATGTTGTGTGTGAGTCTGATTCTCGGTTGCTGCTTTTCTTTCTTTCTTTTTTAAAGAACAGAGTCAGAGATGATGAAATTAAATTCCCAACAGTAGAAGTGGAAAAAGCTCCGAACCACTTCTATTCAACTGCCTGTAAATTCAAATATGTATTTCGTTGGCAAATGCTTACACACATTCAATGTGATTTCAAGATAAAAATGTAGCTTTAATCAAATGGTAACTATTACATGTCACATTAAAGAAAAATGCAAAATAAGCATATCGAGAGGGAAGATTCTAAAAGGCTATGTTACCATCAGGACACATGAAACACATCAAAATAAAGAAATGGGGAGACAAAAGAAAAATCAGCCACCCAAGAAAGCAATTTATTTAAAGTAAATAAGAGAGAAAACAACTACCGACACAGAAATATGGGAAACTAAAAAGGGAATCCAGGGCCAAATCTTCATATTATTTGAGCCACAAGAGTTCATAAATTCATCCAAAGCCATTGTATAAGCATGGCTAATCCACTTTGGTACAATAAAATTGCAGCCATAGTCCAGCCAATAGATCAGATTTAAGTATTTTTATTACTGTTAATTTTGCAGATTTGTCCTCCACCATTCCATAAGAGCAAAGAAAAACTGTACTTGATGCAGACATCAAAGCTTATTTGGACTTAGGAAATACAGTTCAAAAACAGATGAGAGTCTCTCAACAGGGGGAAATCAGGGCACAACTTTTGCTTTAGGATCACAAGTTACTGTTGGCCATAAATGTTAAGAAAGGGTTACAGACAAAGAAAAAAAAAAGATCCACTACAAAAAGACAAACAATGTGGCCAACAGAGACAGGAAATGGTAAGGCTAAAAAGAGTAAGGGCAAACAAACAAAGAGAAAGTGTGGCTAAGTACAAAAGAGTTTTATATACTTTTGTCACATCAACCAGCTGTGAAATAACTCAAAAAATATATTACCCCATTCCCACTACAGTGCTCTCCTCCAGACAGATTCAAGCCCAAATCTTTAGAAGTCAAATACAATGAAACAAGACAGTCTATTTATATAGATTCCCCCCCACACCCACCCCACCATTTCCATCTCCACCCAAGCATATAGATTTCCACAACTGTTATCCCACCAAGCTGATCACATCCCATCAGGCATTTTTTTTAGCTGATCTGGTAAGGGACATTCTGTTTTACATCCTGCATAGCTGGTGGGCTACATTTACCCTAGTGGATCAACAGAATATCGAGACAAAGCTCGATATTTTCCCCTTGTTACTAAATGTACAGTATATTAGGATATAAGAAAGGAAAAGGATACCAGACTGGAGAGAGAGGAAAGCAGCTATGTTGTTGGGCAAATAAAACTAGGGAGCTGTTGGCTAGACATAACTATTCCACAGATTTTGCTTAATAAATGAGAAAACAGAATCTTTCAGAAAAAGAGATCTTATAGAATGCTATAATTCTACTGATCTGGAAGCATTACTCGTACGGGCTATTTTAGCCGACTATCCCAAAAGACTAGCTAGAATACAGGAAGTTGAACTCGAAGCAGTGGGGCGGGGGGGGGATTGAAGCAGTTTTAGGGGGATAGTTTTACGACATCGGGACTCTAACCTGACAGATAGCAATGTCCCAGGGGAGCAGTTTGTAGGGGAATCTTCTTCTCGCAAGGGAATATGGCAATCCAGCTCCCGGTTTGTCGCAATGAGAAGTATTATGGGATGGGATCTCGATTCTATTAAAATCTGTTGATTTCTCAAGCGGGGAAGGGGAGAGGGCGAGTCTGCAATATTACGGGCAGAGAATGCTCGCATTCTTCCAAAAAAAGGGGGGGTTATATATCAAAACGGACTTCCAGCTGGCACAGGGCGACAATTATACTAATTACAATAAATTATAATCAAGTTTGGGAAGGAAGACGGGAAGGTGGATCCCCTCGAAGGAGAATTATGGGATCGTGTAAAACTGAAGTAGGAAAACGGCTTCAAATTCCAACATACTAGCCGCGATTATTACCTGCACTTCTGGCGCAGACCGAGCCGCCCTCCACGCCTCGCGTTCTTCGGGATACTCCCGCGATCCGCTCCCTCCGCAGTCCCACTCCTGCGACTCCGCCCATTCGATTTCGCGACACCAATCGGAATCGAAAACTCTGAAAACTGCTAACGACACGAGCCAATGGCCACGTCCTATCCTCCCTTCTCCACACCCTCGATCCCGCCACTTTTCCGTATCGGCACCGCCCCTCAAAGACTGAAGAAGACCATTCACGATGCTCGCGAGGCAGAAGCTCCGCCCAAGTTGGTTCGCATCCCTAAGAGGAAGGGATATGTAAATATGAGTTCTAAGCCAACCAATCCAAAGTAAGGGGCGTAGCTTCATTCCCCGTACGTTAGGAGAGAGGCGGGATCATGTCCTAGCTCCTCCAATGGTTGAGGTCGATCTCTTTTTTTCCTCGTCACTCTCCGGAGGCGGGTCAAGCATTTTCCAATGAGATGCGAAATTGTAGATTCAAACTGACAGCCGAAGGGAAGGCTACCTACGTTTGGGGCTTTAAGCGGCTTGGGGAGCGGGGAAAGCGTCCACCAATTGGGAGGTGCTGACGGGAATCCGGGAGATTCGGATCTCCAGGTTCATTCAGTGAGTAACCGAGAAGCAAAATAAGACTTTGAGAGCTCTAAAAGTTGGGAATAGTTGTACGAGAGGCTCTTGCAGGTTAAGCACACGACGGATTAATAATAGGGAAAGGGAATCATTAATAAAAAGAAATATTCGAGAGAAAAGTCCCGATGGGCTTCTGTTGAATGCTTTACATTGCCTGCAGTTCAAGCCATCCATACCTCCAGAAGCTCAAAACCAGCCAACGTAGCATTGCACCTTCCTGCCATTTTATCCTCATCCCAGCCCTGAAGAGTTTAGGGATTTAGGGATTTGGACTTATTCGGGGCGATCAATATATTTCATGGCGGGCATTGAACCTGTCTCTTGCTGGCTCATTCATTCAGGTTAGGGGGTGGGGACTGGGTTGCAACTCAGCATCGGTATTAATTCCGCATTAAACGGAATCGGTGGTCGCAGCTTTCCCGAAAAAAACAGGAGCGGCTTAAAAGTCCTGTCAGTAAAGGGATGAGAAGAGAGAAGGACTGACTTCCACCCAGAAAGCGAGCATCTTCTTATTTGACCTACTGAAAGAAACCAAGGGACAAGCTGGAGCCCCCACCCATGCAGACTGACCTTAGCACGTCGGTCGGCAGTTGGAGTTTTGCGGACCGATGTGTTTCTCTGCTGCTCTGCAAGTTCTGCCAACAGGTGCTTAGTTCACGGGGCATGAAAGCTGTGCTTCTGGCTGATACAGAGACCGACCTCTATTCCACAGACATGCCTCCCACCAGGTAAGTTAAGGCATAGGATTGGCACTTTTAATGCTCTCCTCTTCCTCCCCTTGCCTGCTTTGAATGGCTTCTACACATGAGAGGTTGGAGGAACATTATTTATTTATTTTATTTTTATTTATTTTGGTTTGTCAAGCATGTATCACAAAACAAGTGTAAGTATGAATATAACATATAAACAAATAAGTATAAGCAGGTACATATATGCATAAGAAATGGGGACAGTAGGCACGGATGGTAGGCAGCGCCCCCCCCCCCTCTTACAGACCTCTTAGGAATGGGGTCAGGTCCACGCTAGACAGTTTAAGGATAAAGTTTTGGGGGTTTGAGGATGTAACAAGTGTCAGGTAGTGCATTCCAGGCATTGACCACTATGTTGCTGAACTCATATTTTCTGCAATCAAGTTTGGAGTGGTTTACTTTTATTATACCTTCTTGAACCACAGTGACTGCTTTTAGTTTAAATGGAGGTTCCATTTCTGGTTCTGTTTTACCAGCTTTGCAGGGTAGTTAAGGGGAGAGGGATGGTTAAGTGCTCTTGGTGGAAACACATATTTTCAGATTCACATTTTGATTTGTGGTGCCCTAAAGGGTGAGGTGGAGGATGACTCAGCCCTGAATATGTTTAAACCTCATTTCTGCTGCTGAACTTTGTCTATGCTGGGCTTTTATAAAATCTTTATGTATTAGAAAGGAAAACGTTTCATTTTTAAAAAAATAGCCAAAGCATCGGAGAAAGGTAAGATTTTCTGTAGTAGGCATGTTAAATTTGTGATTCAGCCAGCTCAATATAATCTTTGAGCCATGTAATGTTGAACTTTAACATCTTTCTTTTCTGTATTTCCTGCAGAATGCAATCGGCTTCCATTGCTCTCTTTAGCAAACTGCAAGTTGATAGGACCTTTTAAAATGTTTCACAGTTTAAATGAGGAAAACAAATAGTTCTAATGTTAGAATTGCACCATCACTGCTGTAGCAGTATGTTGGAACAGTTACTTTCACTTCCCTTTATGTTTAGTATGTGAACTAGCTATTGTGGTAACAACCAAAAAAAAACCAAGTGAAAGGTTGCATAAACCACAGGAAGAGATAATCTCTGTTTCTGACAGCTTCAATGATTGTGAATCAAAGTACAACTGCTGAAGTATGTGGAAATGAAGATCCACACTGGGATACAATATTTTATCTATAATGTTTATTTATTGAAGACAGTATTTTCAACATTGCTAACAATTAAATTATTAGCTTCCAACAGGTGCAAAACCAAAACTTGCTAATGTAATTCCCCCATATCTGCACAACTTTGCAAAATACATGAATATAATTGCATCTGCCCTGATTTCAAAAAAGATAAAGACTGCTATAAAATCATTTCCAAGATTGCTTAGAATATACAATTCTGTGGAGAGAATCGTGATTCTAGATTAATAACTACATCCAACTTAATGTAGTTATCATTTCAGTACTTTACATGTTAACTAATGGCAAGGGATCTACAGGGTTGAGGGGAGCAGGAAGTTCTCAGCTTTACCAATTACATTTTATGCAAGCTGTAGGCTCTACTATTGAACAGCAGGCTCTCCCATCTTCCTGTGTACTTTCTGCTTAGCTTAAACATGGCCCAAAAGTCAATCAGCACTTCAGCAGCTTTTGGATTTCAAAAGATCAAATATGCAAACACAGCATAAAATAACTTTTAAACTTCCTAAAATGATTCAAAGACAGCTGAAAATAATCCAGAACAGCATACATCAAAAGAACTCCTATTATAGCCATTTTATAAAGGCCAAACTCTTTATGGAATTATACAACTGTTTCTTTGGTTAAGTTTATGGCATAAGTTATAAGTACCTGGTAAGCATTAATTGAAATCATGTTATGAGACTTTGGCACTGTTGTTGAACAATTTAACAGTGTGGCTATTGTTACCACAGGAATGTGGTATTAAATTTAGAAAAGCTGTATTTTCAAGCTGAGACATTAAAAGGGGAAATTTGTTACAGTACTCCAGGAAATATTTTACTGCTTTTTGTTTATTTTGCTCTACAGTATTAATAGCTTAGCATCATATATATTGATGTTCTGATGCAGCTAAGTTATTAAATGTAAAACATAGAGCTAAAAAGTAGAAAAACTGGGAGTTTTTAAGTGACAAACACAACTGATAATTGCTACCTGCCATCTGAGTATTTTCTATTATGTCAAAAGTCCCAAATGATTTTTAAAAAATGAAAATATGCATTGGGGATTGAAATGTTGTGAGGATTTTTTTTTCCTTCCTAGTATTTCCCCAAAAATGTAGGATTCAGTGCCACTGAACTTACAAGACGACAATGAAGGCTTTGTGTTTCTAACTATTTTAACCCTATTTGGACCTTGAAGTATAACTTTCAATAGTGTTATGTATGAATCCAATCAATTAAAAGAGATTTAAGCAAACCCTGGCTTTTTATAATATCTTCTTGCTATGATTCATGTCTAGACCTAGAGCAGATCTGCAGAAAGTGTTGCCAATGGATCATATATGATTCGGAGAACTCCATCCTAAGTGGGCAGGTGTTAAATTTTCAACTAAGAATTAATTTGCAACTGAAAACTTCCCATCTACCCTTATTGCAATGGATCTTGGTTCCACATGCTTTTAAGGGTGTAGCCTTTGACGTGCCACAAAAGTTTTGTTTAGCTCTCAAACCAGAAGATTGCAAAATACATGATTGCATTGGCACTATTATCTCTATGCCCTCTGCTTCACTGCAAGATCTGTAAATTATGGTGGCATATAATAGAAACAAATACAATACAGCACTGTAATACCCAATACAACTTCAGTCAGTATATTCTATCAAAACACATAGCCTGGAAATACTGTAAGCAATGAAGCATCCTCATTTATTATTTTAGATATTCTACTCTGCATTAATTATGGAAACATAGCACATTGTTTGTTTGGAACTTAATATCATATCTTCTTAAGTATTTTTTGAAAGCTAGACTCATAAAGCTACAGTTCAGAAATTATTTAATTTTCAGCCTATAATTTCAGGGTTTTCTCTAAAGCATGAATAAAGTCTTTTGTTAATTATGTTCTTCTCAATCAAAACTGAATAAGTAATGCAAATTGCCAGTACTTTATCTTAATAACTATCAAATAAGTATATTCTATTTTTTCCCTTCCATTCGCAGTACAATCTAAAAAATAGATCAGTGGAATTATTCTGCTCAGTTTGGGCCCCAAAGGATTGATTCAGAAGAAATATGCCCACCTGGTCAATGGATAGGTCTAAAAATGAGTTGCTGTAAATTTATTATAGCAGCATTGCCAGTTAATCTAGCAAATAGTCTCACTTGTATTAATAAAAACTTGAGGCTCTTAGTTAAAATTCTGAATGAATTAACCTAGCTGCCTTGCTTGAATGTTGGCAAAGTAGCTACTAACTTTTTTTAATCCTATATTGATAGCTAGAAATATAATGGAATGTTCTGTTATACTGTAATAACAGTAACAACCTCTCTTGACAATTCGGAATGGCGTTTAAGTTAGCAGCTCTATGGAAGGTAAAGTTGCTTCAGAAGTTTGAAACCAAATATCAAAATATTTTCAATTTTATACATCTAAACTTTGCAATGCAGCTCTCTACTTAAAGTACCTATAACATGTACTTTAGAAAATATTGGAAAAGGCAAAATACCTTAAAACTATATAATTAGTGACATATGTTTTCAAATTTTGTACATTTGAATTCAAAACCAAGACAAAAAGAGTTAAAATGAATATATCTGAAATAGATACTAAAAAACTGACTGACATCTCTACCCATATTACTATTTATCTTTGACTACAAAAAAACCCTATATAATTGCAGTTGAAAACAGCTACAACTTTTACACCATGTGACTGCATTACCCCCCCCCCCAAAAAAAGTTTCAGATTTAGGAATATTTCAGAATAGATTTTTTTTATCGTAAACTTAGTTGTAGGCATATTATTTGGAATTGAATATTCTTAAAGCTGTTGGTAGCTGTTATCTATCAAAATTAATAGGATTACAGCCTTATAACCTTGCCTAATGATAGTAGGATTTATATCTATGGGATTTACTCTGTATTTAGTAAATGGAATTACAGTCTTGAAGAACACAGTGGCTGGGTTTATGCAACACATTAAACCAAGGCCAAATAAATCAGACTATTTGTACTTTTGCAGAGATCCTGCATATTATCTATGTAGTCACCATGTAGTAACAAAAGCACTGCATTGGTTTCAGTATGAAGATAAATGCTGATTCTTAATTTTTCATTAAAATGTTTTTCTTTCCAAACTTAGGATCATAATAGAAATGTTCACTTTCATATAATGAATTACAATAGTATTTCTTCAGCCATTACACTGATCATCCTGGTTTGAGCTTGCAGGCAGTGTACACCCGTACATCTGGAGCACATCAAACTGAGGAAGGCTATGCTATAGAAACCAGAATTGTCTTAATTCTAGCATGAAAAAGGCACCTATGAATCAAAGTTCCTTTGACAATCCAGCTTAGTTTCTTCATTTTTTGGAATGTTTTTACAAAAAAAGGACTTCTTGTCAAAACTTTAGAAAGTTGAATTTATTTACCAGTTAAGGTAGTTTTACTGTACTTCTTTCACAGTAGAGAGATTTATGATTGTGGAAAGAGATATGTAAATAAAAAATAAACAAAATGAATAGGACTCTGTTAGAATTTTAATTGCACCATATTTCATAGTTAAGCGATGATAAAGTTTATTTTAATCATCTCCAATATCTTTCCTTTCTAATCCTTCCCAGTACAGTTGACTTCATTGGAAACTGCTATTATACAGAAATGTGCAGTTGTAAACTGATGAATGTTGCTTGTTTGAAATGGTGAGTAATATTACAGTATTTTTAATATGTAAAAATATTGTTAAAGGTGTCTATTGCTCATTTCTATACATAAAAATATGTGATTACTGCTAAATAATCGTGGAAGTATTGAATTAAAAATACAGTGATCTAATGCCTGTTTTGTGTTTCTATACCCAAATAAGACTTTCAAGGTTTCCAAATAAATTGAAGCCATATAAGTGGGTCGTGAATTAACTGAATTTCCACTTACAAAATTGCTCTCTATTTTTAATTGCTTTTTATTTTAAAAAAGCAGATGTAAGGTAGATGAAATTTGTTTTAGTATGGATATAGGAAATATTGAATGTTTTGAATTTCTGTATATTTTGTATAGTTGATAGCATAAAGAACAGCCAGTTAGCAGTTATGAATTCAGCTGAAAATCAAGGCACAAATGATTTTGATCATAAAAAATGGGGCTGGGGGGGGGGGATATTGTTTTATTTTTTATACTGGGTTTTGGCTGTTTGTAAGCCACTCAGAATCACTGTGAGAGAATGGGCAGCCATATAAATTTTCCAAACAAATAATTCTGTGTCTATAAGTTAGATGTCTGCAACTGTTTCAAGCACTCTCTTATTAACTATTTCTCTCAGAGCTTGTCAAATTCATGTGCTATGCACAATAAATTGATAGCTAAAGTGAAATAGAATAAAGCATTGGTAAATGTCACAAGCTGGGATGGGGTCTGCTGCATCAGATGACCCTGCTATTTCAGGGTAGAAAGAAAGTTTTGGTTAGAAAACTGGGAGTCCAATTTTAACCAAACTAGCCTGAAGCTGCTATGAAAATATGTGGGAGTTGTGGGAGCACCAAAAAATTTGAACAGCATAAACTGGTAGGGCTTGGATTCCAATAGTGAATCAACTGCTCGGGTCCTCCTTGTCTCCATTTTGAATTATATTACCATTATTTTAACTATTTTGTTCTTTCACAAAACAGTACTCCAAATGCAAATTAAAAAGGTTGACACATTATAGAACTTTACAATAATATATTCATATTTTTCCTTTAATTTAAGAAAACAGAAAGCAGATAACAGATTTCTTTGTGTGTATGTGTTATATATGTATATATACTGTGTGTGTGTGTGTGTGTGTGTGTGTGTGTGTGTGTGTGTGTGTGTTGTAAATTGGATGTGAATTTGACCAGACACAGTAAGCATTAGAGTTCACAATTTCCAGATCTATTCAGTTTGTGAAGAAAATTTAATCTTCCATTTTAAAGTTATGTTTTGTTTTCTGTTAGAATTGAAATTAATTTAACCTATTTTATTCACACAGTAGTACATTTGGAGGCTAAAGGAACAGATTATTTCTAAACTCCATTTTGTTTACTACTTAGTCCATTGCCGCATTATTTTTAGTAGATGAAAGGATTTTATTTTTATTAATTTGATATGTAAGTAGGATACATTTGCATATCTATCATTTGTATAGTTTGCTTTTTTTCTACATAGTCTTTGATTTAAAATGTGCATATCATCTACTTCATTTGCTCTTCTAGTGGTAATGTTGTAGGCTACCATGTGATTGCTCCATGCAAACCTTGCTTGTTCTCATGCAACAATGGACACTTCTGGATGTTTCACAGTAAAGCCGTTTTTGGAATTGACAGATTTGATTCATCTGGTATGAAATTTCTATTTTGCACATGGAATTAATTGTTATTATGCTTCTGTTATGTTATTATTATGGTAATAAAGCATGGACAAGGAAAGAAGAACAAATTTCAGATCTGTTGGATGTATTTTATTTCTTATTGGAAATCCAAAACAGCTACTTAAGGAAATGAACATATTCTTAGTGTTGAAATATAGTATCTTAATTGTGTATTGTGCTTAGGTGATGTGTGATTATTACCAAATAAATTTGCCAAGAAAATGCTGCATGTACAGTGTTTTTCTGAAAATAAGACAGGATCTTATTTTTTTTTTACCCCCGAAATAAGCACTTGGCCTTATTTTTGGGGAGATCTTATTACTTTGAGGTGCAGGAGACAGGGATCAGGGTCACCTCATGGCTGCTGCTGTGTTGTAATATTTTCGGGAAGGCTTATTTTTGGGGGAGGGCTTATTTTAGCACATGCGCTCAAAAGCCCAATTGGGATTATTATCCAGGGAGGTCTTATTTTCAGGGAAATAGGGTAAACTAAATTCTTCAATCTCTTAAATCATCAGACTGGGGCTAATTGTTCAGAAAAATTAGTGTAAATTTAAGGTGATATGTGTTGGATGTTATTTAATGCAAAAGCCAGATGGTAGTGCGATGAACCTATTGTAAAACCATATGCTATGGTTACATGCTATTAGCAAATCTCTTCATGAGCAACTACACTCAGAGATGAACAATTTATAAAGCAGCCATGGTAGTACAATAGTTAACATTTGCAGTCTTTTTCCTTCATCGCACCACCATCTCTCTTTCCCAGATTAATCAATATCATATATTCCATCTGCCTGTATACCACACCGAGCTATACTCTGTATAATGTTCCCATCCGTCATATGTGCCTTTCCTTCACTGAGAATCCAATTATCCATTTAACTGCTGCTTGCTGGGTTTTTATAACACATGCTTTACTTCCATCCTATTCCACTTTTTACATTCAGCAACTTTCAACTTCATATTAATTCAAAACATTCCCTATATTAACTCTATAACACTATCATAAGCTTTCTCTAAAACAATAGACTGAGAGTAAATTTCTCACATTGATTTGTTTCACAGTGACTTGCTGAAGGATTTGCACATTCCCAAATACAAAACTTGCCAAATTTTACTAATTGTCACTCTCATGTCCTTTAGGACAGAATTCTACCAACTAACTTTCCAGTCATTTAACAATCTAATGCCCATCTAGTTTGTGATTCACATTCCTCTTGCATAGGAGTATAATAGCATTACTTTAGCTGTATTTTTTCCTATCATTCCCACTCATCCTTCCATTCATATCACACTTAATAAAATGCTGTTTCCTTTAAATCATATTTATTCAAAATGTTGTACAGTACTTCCCCCACTTCCAATTCTAAATATCATTCCTGATTCTTGCATTGTTACTACTCTCTGGAAGGTAACATACAACTATTATATAATCAAATTAAGACTGCTGCTTTCATAGACACACAGATCAACATCAATGTACCAGTTCATATTTTCTGACATATATTTAGTTCTGTCATTCATAAATAAATCTACACAAATCCCATTTATCAATTCCATTAGATCAGACTACTTTCACTAACATCTATCCCACCCTTCCTCTCTCTTAGTTTCACAAATAGGCAACAGAATTATTTGTCTTCATTTCCATTTAATCTGTTAATTCACTGTTAAATTTTTGTCATCTCATCCTTTTATATTCCAATTCTCTGTCTTCCATATGGGCTCACAGATATTGACATCTTCTGTCCATCATACCTTTAGTCAATCAGGGCTTTCACATAATGCAATTAGTCATTATAAGTCAATAAAGAAAGAATAGACTGTTAGTTGTGTTAGTTGTATACTTATGCAGCATTTATTGATAACACGAGGGCACAATGAAGACAGTTTGGATATATTTTATTATAGGTTAATTTTATTTTGCTTATGTTGGTCTCTGCAAACTAAGGTCTATCTTTTGCAAGTCAACCCTGCAAACTAACACACTGTTAACCATATCCCACATACTGAGAGGTACATCAATTATTGTATTAATATCCTCGGGATATGTTTTCTTTAATATTGTGCTTTATTAAGTTAACTTTAGATCATGACCACAAAAAGTATAAAATGTCTGATTTACATTTCTTTTAGGTACAGATTTCTTGCTCTGGGGCAACTTACCAGATTTACATGAAAGCACTGATGAAGATGTATCCAGCACCTCTGAGGAGGAATATATCAGATAATTATTGTCTGCACTGCACTGCACCCCCTGATATGTTTCTTGTATTCACAAGAAGTATAAGGCACTGATCCCAGGAAGACAGTACAAAAGGAAGGGGGAAAACTGTTCAAAGACTGATACCTGTCATCAAAAACTATCGGATCTAGTAAGCATCCTGCTACATAATGAGACTAATATGTAAAGATGAAAATGCAATTCTTACTTGTTCATGTTCTAAAAAAGACAAAATCCACATATATGCATATTTGGCTTCTGGAGTCACTTGATTTTACCTGTTTACAAATTATGACAATCAAATAGATTTCACACCCCTGTCAATTATTGTTATATTACAATAGCTCTAATAGCCACATAAGAAAATAAATGCTATAGTGCTTGATACATGAGTGTTATCATTTTTCTAGGCCAGACCTCTCTTTAGTGGATACATTTAACGTTGCCCAGAGAGCAGGCATTACAAATTCTCCTATTGGCACGCTTCCAGTTTCAGGTGTTTTTTATTAGAGTGGGCTAAGAGAGAGCTCTTAAATATAAACCTTTGTGTGTGTGTGTATATTGTATGAGGGTTGAGCATTGCTAGAAGGTTAGCTTTCAAGGAAATCTGGTAGTGATTTTTAATTGCTAGTGCATGCAAGACTAACAAATGTGGAGATCTAGCATGGGAACTGGCATATTTTCTTGCTTCTAATGGAAAAGGAAGTTGCAAGGAAAGAGTAATAAAACAACTGGAACCCCCTACTTTTGTGCATAGGGAATATAAAGAAACATGTGATCAAATAAAGTGATTTAAAATTAATAAGCAGTACTCATTTCTAGCTGAGTTCAGATATTTTTATAGTTCTTTGCAAGAAGGGAAAACTAGGGAATAGGATGCTGGAAAGGAAGTTATAAATGCAGGGTCATCTTCAGTAAAATATTATTCTGGCTTCTTTATTGTTGGCACAAGAGTATACCTAGCGTGAGTCTCTCTTGTATTCTAAAATCAAAAGCAGCAGCAGTTAGATAGCTACAAGTAGAACAACCAATTCTTTCCAAATTAATGAAATATCATCTGAATTTTTTTTAAAGAGAATAATGTGCTTTTGGCAAGAAAAATACTATATAATTACGTACAAGCTGCTTTGGGACTTTCAGTGGTCTTGTTACCACTTATTTTATGAACATAGGTCCAGTATCATTTCTAGAAAATGAGTACATAAGTTTAAATCAACTTTTATTTATTTGGATGGGATAATCCACACGCAAAGGAGCCAGATTATACTAGAGGAATATCGGCTTGTTTTTCTTGTTACTTATGTTTGATTGCACTTAGGGAAAAAAATTGAATGGAATACTTTGCTTGAAATCCATCAGTCTAAACTCTGAAAAAATACATATTTCATCTTTGATAGCTATAAAAATCTTGGCCGCTCTGTAGCTACTTACCACTTGTATTTTGTGTGCTATGTGTATCACATGTACAGAATTCAGAAACTGGAGAGCCTTAGATTTTATGGTGGTTTTTTTGATTTAGCTAATAAAGTTCCTAATACAGTGTGCGGGGAAAAAATAGATGAAATTTCGAAGCCAAAGAGAAAGTTATAAGTGGAATTATTTCTTATTTGGTTCAGACTAGTTGTGTGTTGTCACTGAATTTCTGCTGGAACAGAAGATGTCATCCATTATAGCTAGCTCCATTGTCCAGTTACTACTCTAACCTTTTGGAATTGATTTTATACCCATATACCTCCTGTGGAGAACAGCTTCCAGGCCCCAGATCAGAGCTTTAATTGCATCTCCTGTTTGGTCCAGGGATTGAGATACAACTCAGTCATTAGCATTATAGTGATGTCTGTCTTTATCCCATGATCTCTTCCAGTGTTGAAAGACGAGTGAAGAGAGTTTGGCCATGTAATACCCCCACCACTAACTAGAGCAACAAGGAGAATCGTAGTGTTCTCCATTCCCATCATTCAAAGATGAGACAATATTATCAATGGTACCAAAGGCAGATGAAAGATCTAGTAGGAACAGGAGATTGCACTCACTCCATCTTAATTCCATCACAAGTAATGCACAGAAGCGCTCAAAAGAGTTTTAGTTCCATATTCACACCTAAAATCCACTTTAAAAGTCCAGATAATCTGCTTTATCAGGATTTTCTCCAACTGTAGACATAACTTCTGCTGCCATCTTTTCTTTTGGATCTTTGGCCTGCCACACTTTCTATTATTCTACTATGCATTTTCTATTGTGGGAAAATGGGAGGGGGGATTGTAAGGAGTGAAATGCTATGTAGCTATAACAAAATTCTTTCTAGAAAGCCAAGGTCATCCTTTGTCTTTGCATCTCTGCACCTGACCGGAACTGGATGGGTGGAACTGCTAGCATGGCAGTGGAAGATTGGAACTTGTGATGGACTTGTGGGTATGGGGCAAGATCTTGAACTTTCAAATAGGTGGGGAAAACCGGGAAGCTTTCAGATTCGGGTTTTCCCAGATCTGCCAACATGGCTCTCTTAATAAATTGGAACTTTGAGCAATACTTTGCCTTGGACTCTGATTTATTTTTGGATGGCTATTTGGAACCCTGACAACTTCCTTGTTAGATATTGTCTAGAAATAAAACTCAGGCAATTATTTTTTCTTCCTCATCAAATTCAGTAGAGATTGATTCTCAGTAAAGAAATTAGGACTTTCAGAATTGTTTTACTGAGAGAAAGAGAACTATGCAGTCTGATTTAAGTCAGAGACACAAAAGCATGTATATCAGTTGTACCCTTGGTATTCAGCTTTGCCTTGTTTGACCTTTTAGTAATCGCCAAAGTCTGTACTAGGTTTCCCAATGTTTAATGATCATAGTACAATGTAATGTAAATTCATGTAAGGATAGCAACAGGCGACAATATAAGCCTTCCTACTGAAAGACAATTTTATTTGCATTTTCCAGCAAATCATTGATTAAACTAATTCTCTATAAATGAAACATAATTTTTACTGTATTTGTGAAAATAGAACATGGAAGAAACCAAATGAGTAAGAGTGTAGGAACAGGAATGGGTAAAGGTATTTTATAACAAGTTAATATTTATTCTTCATCTTGTTTTTTTATAATTTAAACATGAAATATTTAAGCTGAGTGCAAATGTGTACATATTCGTGCATGTGTGGTGTGTGTGCAGCAAAGAGGTCACAAGACACATGGTAAATGCTTATTGTGAAAAATGGGTTGAAGGCAACCCCTTGCAACATTTTTGATTGGACTAAGGTAGTAGGTGGATGAGGATTACATATCCAGCTATAAGAAATATAAGTGTGGTATTGTAAAAGGCAGACATTGAAAGAACCACATAAAATCTCAATTCTAGTAAACTGTGTGTCTTAGCATCTCCCTAGCTCTGATGTCATTCATATCAATGTAAAATGCACTGCAGCAGTGCATTCTCTTTTCATAATGCATTATTCAAGACTGATTGTTGCTGGCAATAAGGATTGAAGAGAAAGAAAGCAAAAACTCACAAGACAATGATATGTTCTTTCCACTTATTTCCAAAAGGAGCTATATGGGGAAGTGTGTGGGTGACTGATTAAATATATATATGCTTATTTTAGAACAAATCACTGCATAGTATCTAAGAGGCAGTCTATGCTAAACACATGCAGGGAGTCGGTCTTCACTGTAACACAGTCATTGCTGTGATAGAGTGCCACCGACAAATAGCACATTGCAAAGACACCAGAACAAAAGACTGCCTCTAATTAATTCTTTCTTTCTCAACTATTAGGTAAACTTGGTGTAATGCAATTAAAAACTACCGCAACCAGAACTAGAATTACTTTTAGCAGGATAAACTAAGCTGGCATTTCTCCATATAATGATATGCTGTATTTATCAAAATGAAGCGTTAAGTGAAGAAAAAAAAAGGTAGATTAGAGACAGAAAGAAATTCTGACATTTCTGTTATTAGTCTGCTTGTGCAAATTGAAAAGAGGACTGTTCCTTTCAAACAAATCAGTATTTTCTGAGCAGGTTATTCTGAACAGCGCAGACTTGTAAAAGTGGGTTTCATGGAACAATGAATATGTAGACATCAATATCACTATTCAGGCTAACATTTCACTCACGTATACAGTTCCCGTTTAACTCTCTTATTTTGTTTTTAAAGCAGGATAGAATAGAAGGATAGAGCAAGTACTCAAATTCCTTTTTTGTCTACTTTTGGCAAACTGTTCCTTCAGTTTGACAAAAGCAGCAGCCACAGTTCTTTGATTTCATGTCTATCTGCCTTTTATCAACTCTTTCCCTGCTTCCACCCCTTTTGTGAAAATGTAGATTTTTACTAAAAGCATTTCAACTTCCTATTGACTACATCCAAAACCTGGTTCTCTTTGGACAGATGTAAAATAAAGCAAGTTATTTAAATCTCGAGTTAATCGAACTCATGTTTCATGTGGTTTGGGTTGTAGTGTTCTGATGATACCATACACTAAGAAAAAAGATCTATTGGAAGTAACATTTTAGCCGCCCTGAGTCCCCCTGGGAATAGGGCGGCATACAAGTTTAAAAAACTAACATCAAGAATAAAGATTACTGTAATAATTATAGGAAGTAACAATGGCATTCATACAGTTACAATGTCTTCAGATCTTACTGAATCAGGAACAGAGGAAGCAGAATAGGCATCTGTATGTGGCCCTAAACCACAGTGCAGATAGAGTGGATAACCAGGTCAATAGATATATATAGAAGGACCCAAAATGCATCAGCAGGAGAATTCAAGAGAAGTTTCCATTTTATGACTTAACTCTCTCCACACACACTAACATCAGAGGTGGTATTCTGCCGGTTCGTCTCAGTTTGGGCAAACAGGTAGTGGCTGTGGTGGGAGGCTCCACCCAGATTTCATCACAGACTCTCTGTGCATGTGCAGAAGCGCCATGCGCAAACGAAGCACACACACGCTCCCAGTTCTGAACCAATAGCAAAGATTAGAGCATTTCATGCCTGACTAACATGGATCTT